TATATATATATATATTATTAAATATGTGTAGTAAAATTATCAGAAGGAAATAGAATGAAGCAGGGCAGATACTTGAAGAGATAATAACTGGAATTTTCCTAAAACTGACAAAGGACAAGTCAGAAATGCAGGAAGTCTTGAAACTCATTCTGGGAGTTGCCTCCAACAAAGGGCTCTGCCTGACCCAAGGTCAGACCCTCCTGAGGGACAGCCACACCCCATGTGAGTTGATACAGACGTTATAACAGCCCCTTGCCTCAGTGAGGGACCATGCTGAAGTGCCACCTGGCTCTCCAGCTTCTTAGGGGGATATGAGGAGGTCTACTGTAACCGCCTAACAGTCAGTGCCTACCTCTTCCTAGTGCTGCTTTCCTCCCATTCCCTTACAGGTGCTATTCCCAACAAACCTCCTTCTATACATCTTTGACTCCAGGGAACTTCGCAGAAGATAAACCTGCATTATTTAAAAGCCCAGAGTAATAACTAGGCAAGAAGGTAGGAATTAACTATTTTCATCCTCATCCTCGTTCACTTATCATCGCATCTCATTTTCATGATGCCCTTCTATGACTTTGTAGGAGGGGGCAGGAGCTGGGAGACAAGTCTGACCATCCCTATTTCAAACAAAGCACGGTTCCCCTTTTGGTTTTTGGCTCATTGCGTTGGGGGATTCTTTCGTACTGGGCTGTCTCCAATCTTTCTGTGGATTTAAACACTTACCCGTCTTACTAGTAGGTGCTTTTTCACAATATATTTTGTAGTCCTCACTTATCTTCTCTATGGCCACCTTTGGATACTTGTAGCAGAGTTCCTCAAAGGACATTTTCTCTATATCTATCAAGTAGATAAAAACAGAGGCGAGTCTAGTTGACCACTCTGGGGTCAAAGATTGATATGCTTTTGTTGAAAGTATTGCCTTTTACACATTATTTAAGTACGACAATAATGTCCTAATGGAATGTCTATACGCAAGGAACACAAGTTCTCTAAGCCAGATTAGAAGCAAGGAAAGACCGTGGGCCACCCCTCTAACGTGGGAGGATTCTGTCCTTATTTGAGACACCTGACCCGTGGGGACCTTCTGCCCAGTCACACCCAGTTGTCCTTGAACTCTCCAGGGCAGTAGAGTGCTTTCTGATACTAGTGGAGTCCAGAAGGAATCCCAGCGTGTGGACTCACAGATGTCAGTTGTCCTTATGACAATGGCCACTGTTGTCCATAGCGCCTCTCAGCCAAGGGTGAGAGTGAAACATCCATCGGCTGCTTCCTGCATTGCACAGTGCTGACACACAGTACATAACCACTAGCTGTTAACGCTCCATAGTTCCCAGATGCCTATGTGTCAGGGATCGAAAAAATTATGGTGACGGCCCTCACCTGTCAGAAACACTGGAGACTTCAGTTCTACCCGGAGAGACCCGTCATGTCTCAGGTCCTCAGTAGCTAGTTTTCTCCACTGCGCCGAATCCATTTCCTCCATGTTAGCCAGACCCTGGCTTAGTGCCAGGGACTCCTCCAATCTCTTATAAAGAAGCATGTTCTCTTGTTTGCTTATAGAGTCTTTCTTATGCTTCCTCGTGTGGTTGACATTGGCCTGAGTCTAAGAGAAGGGGGAGGGGGACAGACAGTATTTGCTACAGGAACTAGACCAGAAGCAAGACTTTTGTAACAGCCCAGTCCTCCTGTGTCTCCCTGTCAGGCGGACTGAGGCTGGTGGTTTTCAATTTGCTCAGATCCATTGCAAACCCATTTCCTATAACGGAGAAATTCGATGTGACTCTTAAAGTCAGCTTAGGCACTGAGTCTTTTGCCTTGAGAGCTTTATGTTTAAGCATCAGGGACCATGTCAAACCCCCCAGTAGCCTCTAGGAAAAAAACACACACCAGACTTTCATTTACTTTAACGAATAAGGCTTCTAAAAGAGCAGTTACTCTCTTTTCTCCCCTCAACCTTATCAACCTTATGATTCATCCCCAACTCAAAGTCCCTCCTACTGCATAAGTGAGAAACAAGGAGTCCTCTTCATTCAGGAATTCATCATACCAGGAGCTGAGCATCTGCAAGTCAAACACGACATAAGGACATAAGCGTTAGGAGGTGTGCTCAGCCTGCTGGTTGTTTACCTGGAAGAAGTGTAGGCTGCCAATTCCGGAGTCTCTAGTTTGGAGATACAATGGAACAGCAAACATTAGCCATGACCAACCAGCACGTTCCTCTGTCTTTCTAAATTTGCAGCTCACGCAGCCTCTCTCTGAACCTCAGAGGATAGTAACCGATACTTAAGAAGAGGTACAACGAATAGTTTACTGAAGGACACCTCTTAAATCTTTGTTCCTTTCCAAAGTCAATACTTAAGAAGAGGTACAACGAGTAGTTTACTGAAGGACAGCTATTTGACACCTCTTAAATCTTTGTTCCTTTCCAAAGTACTATCTCATCTGATTCTCAAAATTGTCCTGAAAACCAACCATCTTCTTTTGGTGTGTCTACTCTTGATATCTCCTCCTTGAAGACCTTGCCCACTTGTGAAAATTATTTCATTACATTAAAATAAACAAACAAACAAAGCCCAATAATAACAACAGAAAGCTAAGCGTTAGTGCTTAGCTGGGTTTATCTATCTATACCCTCACGTTCATTCATTTATTTATCTGATGAATACGTTCTCAGTGCCTCTCACGTGCCAGACACCGTGCCCATTGTTGAGAATATACAGATCAATATGCTGTAAGCCTGGTTCTCGAGGAGCTCACCTTCTAGCATGACGGCACATGCCACCATAGAGGTGTGGGCAAAGTTCCCTGGGAGCGGAGAGGAGGGAGCACATTTCACAAGAGGTAGGGAGCCTCTAGACTTCCAGAACTGAAGAACTGTGCACAGGAGAGCTGTGGCTGTGGATCCACTGGACTGATCTGGTCCCATACAACCCAGATGTGCAACCCTGGATAATTATTCTGTACTGGAAATTGTGCTGGACTTAGAGCCAAGAACTCCTAGAACTCCTAGGTTCTGCCCCTTGTTCCTCTCCCAGTCTGCTGTGGGCCTTGAGCTAATACTCTTACCCTCTCTGAGTCTCACTTTCCTCATTGTACAAATGCCAGTACTACCCTTTATGCCTCTGAGAGGTGCTAGGAAGCCTCGAGGAGGTAATGTGTTTTATAAGGTAAATAAATTATAACGCACTAAAAAATTTGCTACTTACATCTATTTGCCCTTCCAGATCTACTCTCTACCCTTTCTTTACCAGGCTTATGCCTTGGGAAATTAACCTGTATGGACCACATCAACAAGCTCCCATGACCTCTGGTTGGGTTTATCCAGTCAGGAGTCCTAACAGGAGATGGGAAGGCAGGAGCCGATATCTATTCCCCTTGGTCCCTCCCAGCCAGATCACTATGGACTGGCTACATCCCTCTACTGACGATTACAGCTCCCGCCAAGCACTCCATTCCATATAGCTCTTCTGGTAACTATTCCCTCTCCTCCACTGTTCTGGCCTAAGAGTGATAAAAGTGGTCCACCATTACTGGCCCTGGGGTACTGCACTATCCTCTGTAGTTTCCCTACTCTCGCGCCCACTACCTTGTAATTAGTCCCTTTTATTGGATGCTCGTCTGTTTCCCAGCTGACTCCGCCATTTGTTTTCTCCCAAGATCTTGATGATACAACAATCAAGCAACGGGCCTTACTTCCTTTGAGTCTTTAGGATGGTCCCCTGCTTTTATCTCATGTTTTGGGATAAGAATAAACCCTTCTCCACTGGCCATTTTCTTGTTGGCTATTCTAGGAAAGAAAGACCTTGCATTCTAATACACGATGTTCAGAACAGAGTTATGAAAACTTCCCTCAGTGGAACACTCAGAGGTTCATGGTTTTGGGAGACTCCACGTAAGGGGGAACTGAAGAAGGAATAAAAGGTGGATATTGACCACTCCCCCACCTCCATTCTACTTTGGAGTTTCGGCTGTTTCTTGGGAATCTGTACAGCCTGCTCTTAAAAAATTAATAGGCTCTTCAATAGGTGAAGGGTTATATGGGTAATTATATCATTAACTTAGTATAGATGAGCAGATAGGATCTTAGGTCAGTTTTGACCCCATCTTCCAGATCTTAACCCATCTTGGTAAGGTGTGACCTACCTGGCAGATCTCCTCCTGGGCTTTGGGTATCCAGGGGTTCATATTCCCAGAAGGCAGCAGCTCCTTCAGACCCTCAATGGTTTGGGATTTGAGTGGTAAGCGTGGACCAATCTGTTCATTCAGGTAGAGCTCACAGATCCGGTTGCCCAGTATGTGCCAAAAGGTGGCATTCCCAGTCTTCCTGTTATTCATCAGGACATTGAGGAAATGGTGCAGGTCCTGCCAGAGGTCCAGGAGTTGGATCTCCATTTTCAAATTCAGCTTCTTCAGGTGGTCCCGGAAGGGACTCCCTGCAAAGGCATCAGCACACAAGGCCCAGTGGGTGCACCCCAAGGAGAGTCTTTTCTTGATGGCCCCCTTGATTGTCAAACGGGGGGAGTGACGGATGATGGGGGTGGCCATCCTCAGGTGGGTAGAGATCTTTGTCTCAAAGAGGCCCTCCATGTGGAGATGGCTCTTGGCTTTCTTCTTCATGTTGGACTTCTTGGCACTGAGACCGTCCTTTCCCAGGGAACTGGTTATTCCCTCCTTTGAAGAGGCCATTTTCAGGGAAGGCATGTGTACAACCACTTTCTCCTGAAGAGAGATCTTCTGGGAGGACACAGAATTGTCGCCTGGCTTGGTATCCAATTCTAGAGACCACGAGGCATGGTCTATCAACTGCCACATCTTCCGTTTGATCTTCCTGCTCGAGTACCACCTCTGGGGGTGGCAGGACTTCTTGATGCTCATGTTCAGAGGGAGCTCTCCTAAATGGGAACAGCAAAGACTGCACTGGCGAGTCTCATACTCTTGCATCAGATGCTGGCATGAATCCTCCTTAGCTATGATGGTCTTGGCATGAATGTGGAAGTTGGGAAGCCAATAGCTCTGGAGTTTGAACAGAGCCACTTTCTGCATGTTGCTCAAGATCTCCCGCCTGGTGGTTGACTGGTTGGGATGCCAGATGGAAAGGTTCAGGAGCGACTCTGGAAAGAAGGCAGAGAGACGGAAGATGAAAAACGATGTGGCGCCAGTGAGCTTTTGAAGTTTTTCCGAAAGTTTTTTGATTAGAATTTCATTGGTTCCTCACGCAACCCAAGGCTGTGAGGAGGTCAAATACATGGTGGATTCAAGTTTACGATTTGCTCAGCACAGTGACCCCTTTCTCTGATTACCTTCCTTTTCCCCCCAGATAAATAAGTCATTCTAGGGGATTCTTCAAGTTATTTTTTAGACTATAGAATGTTATTGTAAAGAAAAGCAAACATCACATGAAAACTTGTGTAAGAACATGTACCTCTGAATGGGTTTCTCGGGATCAGATCTGACAGGAGGAAGGACTTTGGACAATAATTTGAAGGAGTCTTTATTAGCCCTGATTTTAATGCCATCAATTCTCAATGATCTCTATGAATTAAGAGTAGCGTGACTAATCCCCAAGAGCAAATCTGGAACACATTTGTGTTTGGGTTAGCAATGCCTCCTCACTGCATGTTCTAGAGAAGAGGTTGGCGGCTTTGTCTGTGAAGGGCCAGCTAGTAAATAGTTCAGGCTTTGTGGGCCACCTACAGTCTTTGTTGCACACTTGTCTTCTTTAACCCTTTAAAAATATAAAAACATTCTTAGTTCATAGGCCACATGTACTTCACTTGACCCGTGGGCTGCAGTTTATTCTAAAGAATCCCAATTGAAAAAAAAGAGAAAAAGAAAAAAGGACAAGCCCTGCAGGCTCAGAGATGGAGGAGGCATGCAATTACCTTGTTCCAATTCCTCTTCACTCCATCCAGCAAAACATCACTGGCAAGTAAAAGCTCAGGAAGAGGCCAGTACCAGCCTAAGGACAAATGGTCTCTCCCATCCCTCCCCTGTTATGGGCTGGGTCTCCCACTGGCATCCCTGATGCATAGAAGATGGAAAGGGTGGCAGTGTGCAAAGCCAGAGACTGAGGGCTATCAGACACTGGATTGATTTTTTTGGTTACATCTCCCAGGGATTTTACTTCAGATACACTTTATAGTTCTTACTGATGTTCATGTTGCAGAGGGTCACGACCCGTGAGCCCTCCTGAAGATGGGTGGCCTTCAGCATGAGGAGGAGAGATAGGTAGTGGTCTCTCAATTCCAAGTCCATCTCATCTATGCCCAGGATCTTCTCAGCAAGGATCCAGAAATCCACCAGCTCTTCACCTACAGATCAGACAGGGGAGGCACAGAGCTACACCCCTATCTATCCCCTTCAGTGGTTGCATCTGGGTGTGGCAGCTGATACCCCCACCACCCACCTGCTCTACTGCCTCCAACATTAGCCACTCCTCTGGGTCAAGGCACCATCTCCAGAAATGTCCTAATATGGGGGCAGATGGGAGTCATGGGGGAAGGGAATTAATGGATAGGGATCTTTTGTGACTTTTTTGTTAGAAAAACTGTCACTTTAAGAAAAACGGCACAACTCTGAAGATGGATCATGAGACATTGGAGTTTGGTCCAAAAAATAAAGACAGAGGGAAAAGCAAATTTCCAAGATGATGGACCCAGAGTAGCTAGCAGAAGGACACTGGGGCCAAAATGTGCCAAACACTATGTTCCTTGTTTCATAATTGTCAGGGCTGAAGTCCTTGTGACAAACTGAATGATAGTTCTTCTCTCCATGTTCCCTGGAGATCCAGGATGTCACCCTTAAACCAAGGCTTGTCCCTGAGTAAAACTTAACATTACTGAACTGTCCAAGCTGTTGGCCTCCCAGTATCCACCAACTACTGGACCCAAAAGAGCAGAAAGAGATGCATCCCAACACGTTCGCCACAAGGATTTATTTATTTACTTGTTCCTTGTCTGTCTCCCCACCATCGTGGCAGCTTTATGACGTGGGGATTTAGTATAGCTCTCATTCACCGCTGTATCCCCACCTACCAGCACAGTGGCTGCCAGAGAGTGGTGCTCAATCACTATTGTTGAATGAATGAACAAATGAGTGAGCGAAAGGGACTCAGAATGCATTTGCCCTAACCTACACTATGAATCCCAGTTTTAAAAGACTTTACTCAAATTGCATTATAAGTAATTTTTTATATTCACCACAGACACACAGAACTATCAGTAAGGGCTCTGGGGCATCCTAGAAACTGTTGAGAACTTGCAAAGGCCCCAGGAAGAACTCCAAGAACCCACCTGCACTGCCCTTGAGGTAGGTACAGAAGCGCCACATCCCTCTGACCCCGCCAATGCATTTCTGGAGTAGCCACTGGTCTGCCTTTTTCCATCTCATCATCTTGGCTGCCAGGAAAAGTCCATGGTGAGAGAGAGTGAGCTCTGTCCTCGGCTCCTCTCTCAGCCTCCTGCACGGTCAGTCCCCCATTCGCTCAGTGAGGAGAAATGGTGGATAGTTAGATGAGTTGGGTCCTGATTATGTGGTGCTTTAGAAACTAGGCACCAAGCCCTCTACTGATATGCATCAAGTGACATGTGAGAGACCCACAAGCACACGTACAATCCAAAATCAAAAACACCCTCCTACCAAGGCCCTTTGCCTTCTACCGTCCCCTCATGACAGTAATTCTACCAACCCAGTTTCCCCAATACGTATATGGCAGGAGAGAGAGAGCATAGCAGTGATTCGTTACAACATTTTACTCAATGGAATCTCCTGGATCTTAACCTTCCCTGGGTGGAGCCTATCTGATTTCCTTTGGTTAGTTGAGCTGAAAGTAAAGTTACCAATTCAATCCTAGATGGAGATTTTATTCATTCATTCTTTCAACAAATATTTATTACACGTCTACTAAGTGCCAAGTACCATTCCAGGTGTTTGGGATACATTAGCAAACAACAAAAATTCCTGCCCTCAAGGAGCTTATAGTCTAGTGAATGAGACAGACAATGAACAATCAGTATAACAACAACATTATCTGGAAAAGTTGAAGCACTACAGGAAAAAATGAAAAAGTAGAGAAGGGTCGGGAGTGCTAAGGCAGAGGTTGGACAAGTGGGCATTATGGTCTTCATGGGATAGGTGAGAACTTCACAGAGATTTGAGGAGATGAGAGTGGGAGCCAATGTGGATATGGAGGAAGAGCATTCCAGGAAGAGTAAACAGCCAGTGCAAAGCTTTGAAATAGAAATATGCCTAACATGTTTAAGGAACTGCAAGAGGGCCAATGTGGTGGAAATGGAGTGATTGAGGAGGGGCATAGGAGGAGATGAGGTCAGAAGGGAAATGAGGCCAGGTCTCTAGGCCCTTGAAGGCCATTGTAGGGGTGTTGGATTTCACACTGAGAAAGCAGCCATTGGTGCAGGGGTGGTGAGTGGTGAGTAGAGGAATGACATGATCTGAATTAAATGCTGAAAGGCTCACCCTGACTGCTTTGAGCAGCAGAACAAGAGCAGAACCAAGGAGTCTAAGATGATTTCAGTGGCCAGGTGAGAAATGATGGTGGCTGAGACCAGGTGGTGGCAATGAAGGTGGTGAGATATGTTTGATTTTGCATAGAGTTCAGGCAATTTTGTCATGTTCTGTGGCCACCACTCATTCTGTCATTTATGAATGTAGTGAGACAACGGCCAGCCCATTTGACTCCTGCTTATTGATCTAGGTAACAATTTTCCAGCTCAAGATTTTACCTATTGTCACAACACAGACCGAGCCACCTGCATGTCTAAGGCTATAAAAGTAGCCACTATTTGTATGTTACTGTAGGACTAACACACAGCCTGGCTTCCCATATTTCTTCATACTTATACCTTCATGCTTACCTCCTTCTGGGGAATTAATGAAACTGATGAGCTCTTGACAAAGAATGTAATGGAAACACAAGTTGGTTTTACAGAAGAAAGGTAACCGGTATTTTCCCAGCCAGGTCAATAATCCTTTGTACTTTGGAATCTAGAGTCCAAACAAAATAGGAACAGAAAAGAGAAATGGAACTGAACTGCAAAGAAATGCAGCTTAGAAAAGGGCAACAAATAACCTAACACTTGCTGAGTCTGGCCCAGAGATTAAAAATAGAACCTAAAGAAACTGAAGACTTGAACTGAGGCTCCCAAAGGAGTGAACGGATTGGTACAAAAGAAATATTCGTGGGTGAAGCTGTTTTAAAAAAAGATCTAAGTCACCCAGCTGATGTGGCTCAGTGGTTGAGCGTTGACCTATGAACCACGAGGTCACCGTTCAATTCCTGGTCAGTGCACATGCCCAGATTTCAGGCTCAATCCCCAGTGGGGGTCATGCAAGAGGCAGCTGATCAATGATTCTCCCTCATTATTGATGTTTCTATCTCTTTCCCGCTCCCTCTCCCTTCCTCTCTGAAATCATGACCCCAGAGAGGGTCAAAATCATATCCATTTTGAAATAAGATCTAAGTCTTGCTTGATAGAAGAGGAGCAGAAGAGACTTTGGTGTTGAGTCATAACTCTATTCAATGTGCTTCTTTATAAGCACATTTATAATATTTTGCAGGCTCCCAACCCATATCAACTGCACAGCGTGTACAAAAACACACAAAGACTCACACATAACATCAGTTAGAGTACAGGATGGATCCCTGAGACACTGAGCCACCAGAGAAAGGAGGAAAAAACTAAAATGTTTACATTTCGGAGTTCTAGGAATACTGAATGTAACAGTCAGAGCGGGGTGTCTTTCTCAGCTCTCCAGATCCCAGGGGAAAACAAAACCTTGCTGTGAGCAGGGATTAGGATGATCTGTCTGAGACTATCTGCCGCGGCAGGGTATGTGGGAGCCATTGGTATGTCTGACATTCATACGGTGGAAAAGGATACTAGTAATGGGAAGGGGGAGAAGGGACATATAAAGAGGGAAAAGTGAGACAAATCTCTGGAGGAGAGTGGCGGAGTAGGTATTCGGAATTGCAGAGTGGCATCTGACCTTGAGCTACACCTTATCATGCAAATTACTACGTAGCCCATGGCCTGTGACTGCCTACCCCACACCCACGTCAGGCATTGCCAATCAATTCCCAGACTCTTTCTGGCTTAGGTGTGGCCTCAGAGTTCTTTTCAACACAGTGCTTCAAGCATCTACGACCCAACCAGTCACAGTGAGCATGAGAGATGAAGTCCCATTTGCTAACCCTCGATTGGAATATAAAAGAAGGAACTCACCAGCACCTCTTGGACAAGTGATAAGAATGCACAAAGGAGAAATGTCTAACTGGCTTGATACTGTTTGCTCTACTCACCTGCTTTCCTTTCTCCCTCTCCCTCTCCCAATCACACTTCCCATTCAGCTCCCTCAACCCCCCACCCCAAGATGGCCGCCACTGAAGTAAGGTCCTTACTCACCAAGTCATGAGGTATTTCTGGCCACAAGCTCCATTGTGCATTTTCAACTGTATAAAATGGTGTCTGACCGAAGACCTGCAAAAGAAAACTAGGAAACAGCCAAAGGGGTAGAGCTTCTCCACATGAACATGTCACAGGGCATCACAGCCACAGGGGAAGAGAGGTTCCATTGCTTTCCTATTTCAGGGGACATTCATTCTTAAATGTACTCCACTGAATCAACTCACCTTGCCCCAAAACACCCAAAGTAGATGAAATGACAAGATTTGTTTATCTTTTGGCACCGCCCTGGGAGTTATCTTGCCTGTGTGCAAAGGCCAAAGCCCAAGCTATTAAAAGGTGTTGACTTTTGTGTATTTTGTATATTAATTGGCTAAAGCCAACGGTCTAAACTCTTTCATAGAGAGAAACAGCTTTGGATTTGCCTGAACTCTTGAGCTGGAGAAAGTGGAAAGGACCAAGGATATGAAGATTAGGGGTATTGATTACTTATGGAGTCATTAGGTGTCCAAAACTGATAGATAATTCTAGCCTTTTGTCATGGAGCAGAGCCTGTGACCTAGGGAACCAGGTGGGAGGTGATAAGGATCTAAAGGCAAAAAGGATGGGACAGATAGGAGAGATTTTTTACAAAGTAAAATGCCAGACCTCTTACTGTTTGAAGGTTGGGGAGAGGCGGTAACAAGAGGGAGGAGTTTTGGGGTAACAGGTTTAGCTGCCTGGATGGATGGTGGTGCCAGCAACATGGTAAAAAAGAGGAAAGATGAAGAGCCCTCTCAGAGCAGGTCTTTGGGGTGATTCTCACACATACTGTTACCTCTGCCAGTGTCATGAAAGGTTCCAGAAGTAATACTAAGACATTTTATTAGTTGCAAAGTGCTAAGGGGCACAGAGGCAGGGAAAATAAGTCCCATTGGAAGGACACCTGGGGATTCCTTAAGGAGAACAGGACTTAAGCAGCGATTTGAAAAATGGTTAAGACTTTGGACGGTGGAACTACAGAAACTAAGAACACAGCTCAGCAGAGGTGCGGAGGAGGAAGAATGCCAGGGGTGCCCCTTTGGTAGACTACTGGGTACTGGCAGAGGGTGTGATGGGCAGGTAAAGGCAATTAAGGAGGTGGGGACGTAGGATTGGATTATATCAATGATGGGAAGCTCCTGAATATATAAAGGAAATTCTAATTCATTTTTACTTGCTCAAAGTGAAAAGTTTTTATTTGGTAAGTTTATTTTTTTTAAAGGCACATGGCTCAGTGAGATTCACTACTTGTCTGTTGATGAAACATGTGGATTTAAGTCCGGGTGAGAAAACTTACCGGGAGAGAAAGAAACGTGTTGAAAAAATCAGCAAAGATTTCATCCTCCAGCAGAATTATGAGATTTGTAGAACAGATTATCTCTAGATGGGGAGAAAAAACAAACACACTCACGAACCAGAATTGTACTCGGGATGAGAAAACGAAGCAACTGGATGGGTCATTTCACATCGCCAAATCTCAGCTGACCGTGGCCTCTGGGGTCATCTAACTCAATTTCCGCCCCACCCCCAAGACTCTCCTCTGCAGTATCACTCCGCTTGAGCACCCCCAGCTGTGGGGAGCTCACGGCCTCCCAGGGCTGCCACGCCATTTATGAAAAGAGGAACTGGTTAGGAAGATTCTTCCTATTGTGAACTGCCTTCCTTTATCTTCTTTCTACGGACAGAAATTCTACCCTCTGAAGCTTCACAGGATTAAGTCCTCTTAAGTGGGGCAGTGCTCTCACATTGATGAAGACATCACAACCTTCTGCTTATCTCCAACCCCTCTTGCTAGTCATTAAGCAATTCTTCAACCGCCTCTTTGCCATCTGGTTCCCCTTGTGTTGGCTGGAGTGTCTAGTACAACTCAAACCATCTGCACTCACCCCAGGGAAGGACACAGACAACTGCTGTCCATATCGCATGTTTTATCACTGTGGCCGGAAGTAGGGTTAGCTGTGGGTGCTCTCTCATTTCACTGTTAACTCCACCATCCCTTATTTACTCAGTCACTTTTCAGAAACCAAGGGCAAGAATGTATATTTATTCCAGTCAAAGTGTAACTTATTGGGTTAGGCCCAACATTAAACCCAACGAGAGCTTATCTAAATATTGATCTGGTTGTGCAAAATATTTTCATTCTCCTTAGGCTTGATCACTGCACTGTCCAAGTTCATCTGAGGAGATAAATGTTGAACGTTACAAAGCCAAGCATGGAGACCACAGGTGGACGAGGTGACCCCTGTAAGTTAACTCTAATTCACTATCTCTGCTCTTAGAGCACAATGCTCAACTAGTGAATAATAAGCTAATTATTCTCTCGATGTTCCTCATTTGCCCATCACACCTAAAGTTTATAATGGGAGACTTATAAAATGAGCAACCTATATACTATAACTAGTCCTATCCCTCAGTCTGAACAACTGGTGTGAATAGTAAGTACCACTCACCACCACTACAGTATAGTTATGATAATATAAGAAAACTAAACAAGACTTCCATAACTTTTCCTGATGACACTTGATGATGATTGTCTTCATATAATAAAAATGGAAATAAAAGCTAAAACAACCAAACACTATTGTTACAGACTATGTCAGCTCATGCCCTCTGTTCCACAGACCTATTCTTTCTGCCACCTCGTGTTCTTAAAAAACCCAACAACACAGAGATAATTTATTTAAATCAGCAAATTCAGATTCTTCAAGCCCCAGTCCACAGTGGGAAGCCCTTCCTCCTCTCTCCCCTCACACCATCCCTTAGCCACAGCGAGGGGAAGGGAAATGAGGGGCCAGGAGGGCCTCCGCCAGGGCAGGTTCCTTCAGTGTGTGGCCAGCCCAGTCCAGTGGCGCAGGGGTGGCAGCTGCCACAGACCCCTCCCTATAAACTAAGTCCCTGCAGCCACAGCTGTGAGCGAGGCATATTTGTGGAAGGAAGGCCCAAAGGCATTGCTGCTGATGCCCAGCCAAGGAATGAACTGAAGGCACAGAGATCCGGGGAGAAGAGGTCTGAAGGAGGAGGAAAGGCCCTAAATTTTGGTCAGGGAAAAAGAAGAGACCAGTTGGTCCAGGTTTTGTGAGTTTGGAGAAGGGAATGTATTAATAAGCACAGGGGGAGAGGCTGCCATGGGCACCCCCAGAGGAGACACGCCAGGCCAGGCCCCCACCCTGGCAGAGGGGAGCTTGAGAGCTCCAGGGGCTCCTAGGGAATGCCACTGCTAAAACAAACAAACAAACAAATAAAATAATACATAAAATAATAAATACATAAAATAAAAATAAGCTGTCCAAGCGAGGGCAGGAGCAGGGCTGAGGATGGATCAGAAGAACTGGCATGACATCCCATAGCCAGTCATGCCTGCCTGAGATGACCTGTGGTTGGTGCCCATCTATAACCCAATCACGTTCTTGCCCTCTTGCAGCTAGTTGTCTGCTAAGTTCTGAGAGCCCTCCTTGGATTTCTTAAAAAACCAGTTGGGATCCCCAGAGAAAAACCCATCACCCAGGATACTGCCAGTCCACCCAGTTTCATCAGTGTCCTCTGCACACAGGCCACTTCTTTTCGTCCCAGAGGTCCCTTCTCTGGAAGATGTCGGTGCTACAGATGCCATAGCGCTTGGCTACTGACAGGAGCTGCGACATCTGCTCCATCCACATGAAGGCCACGGAGAAGACCTGGATCTTCTTCACTGGGCCACCCCTTGGGGTACACACAGCCCGTTAATGCGCTCACACAGCACCGTGTGCCAGCCCTGAGCCTATTCTGGATATTCTCACATCCTTGCCGCACTGGGCAGTGATCCACTGGATCAGGATCTGCTCCAGGTCTGCAATGTACTGCTTCGCAAACTCCTGCTGCACCTCCTGGCTCAGGCCACAGGCACGTGCCATTGGTCATTCTGAAAGGTGGTGGTGGCTGTGGGTAGCGTCGGGCGGGCTGGAGAGCCCATACTCCTGGTGGGGTTGCGGGGCAAGTGTTTGTATTTTAAATTTATATCCATGTTTTTTCTGTCTCCCTTCTCAGCCCTTTGCCCTTCCTTTTATAAGCATTCCCTGAGATATTTATTCTGTGCCATGTGGATGATTCCAAAATCTGTGTTTTTGGTCCAAACTTCTCTATCTCTAGTTCTAAATGCCCAAAGAGCTATGGGACATCTCTACACGAGCATCCACCAGCACCTTCATCTCAATATTTTCAATGCTGATCTGACTTTTTTTTTCTTCTTCATTCCAACCTGTTCCTTTTCTTGTATTCCCAATCTCTGTTACTGGAACCACAACTCATCCAATGATCTAAACCAGAAACCTGAAAATCACCTTTGATTCCTCTCTGTTTCTCTTTCTCTCTCTCTCTCTCTCTCTCTCTCTCTCTCTCTCTCTCTCTCTCTCTCTCTCTCTCTCCTCTCTCCTCTCTTCTTC